AGATGAGTGAAAAGAGGAAGAGAAAAATGATGTCACAAGCATAAGAAGGACATCCGAATGCTCTTCCAAGAATGTGACTTGCTATTTGCCAAACGTTCTCTCAGTATGAATGGAAATCATGATGGCTGCGTATGTTTGGATGTAGCTATGTCGGCTAATTATCTCACTAATAGTACTGTTTTATGTTCTTATTTGTAATAATTTGCTATGACTCAGTGGTGCGGTAGAACGTAAACTTTCATTTGATATGGTTTCTGTAGAATATATCTATCAGAAATAGAGATTATAGAGGTTTTTGGTGTTGGAAAACGAACTAGCAATAAGTAAATAATGCTGTTTTTCTAGCTAAGCATCTGACGGTTTAAACTTCTTCGATTGCTTGATCTGATCAATTATTTCAATGAAAACAAATTAAAGAATGAAAGTCACCTTCTAGATGTCGAATCATTGCAGTCTTAAAAGTCTTGTGGAATTTTATGAAGACTACTAGGAAGATCTGACTAATTATAAGCCTTACCGTTGGTAAGTCATCAAGTATACATTAGTGAACTGCTTGTCTGAAGCATAAAACAATCAACTTGTGGCGTAGTTTTGATAATCACTGCTTTATATAAGTAAATTACTAAAGGATAAAAGACTCTCTAGTCGGTTTAGCTGCAATTTTCTTTGTTAGATTACATGATGAATTGTCACCACCAGTTAATCTTCCTACAGACTATAGCTCTTCATCGTGTATCTTTTAATCAAACCCTGTTGAAATAATCTACACCAATAGAAGCTATATATAATTCATATCTACACGATGACGGTGCCAAAAATGATATAATCTATCGTAGAGATCCGAGGTGGTTTTCACGGAATCCAGTATTCAAGAAAAGTGCTCTCTGCCATCATAAAGATAGTCACAAACCACATCATCTACTTTATGACTATCTGTATATGAACAAATAATGTGATCCACATCTGCATTGTTCGAGATAATCTGTGTTTCTATGGCGACCTTCGAAACGTGTGAATGGAGCTAACCACTTGTAGATGATGCCGGTGTTTTAAAGTTTTCGGAGAATTTTCCATTTATTCCGCACTTAACCGCAGATATCTATCACTTTTGTATCAAAGTAGAACCGATTAGGAAACAAAATTTCAATAATAGCACTGCATTGAATTTGAATTAATCGGATGATGAATATAGACTGCGTGAGGTTTTGAATCTTCTATCTGTTTTAATTATATACTTGCTCTGGATAGCTCCTGTAGGAGTTTGTCAGAGAGTTTTGTTAATAAAGAGAAATATCTTTGGAAAAATGGAAACTGTGCTTGAGTACAGGTAATTTTTCGCTCGAAAATATCAAGTTCTTTGTGTATTGTAAGCAGAAAATTCATTTCTCGAATTCTAACGATTCATAGCATCAATCGATATTTTGTCTTGTTTGTATATATATATAGACGGCTTGGCCAAACGTTACGGAATTTCATTGAATATTTACCATGTGTTCAGGTACTAATAAAAGCAAACGGAAATTATTTTCCTACACTTTAAAGTGTGCTCTTTCACATACGATTAGGTTTACCACTTCATATAACGCTTCATACTTCCGCACTCTGATGCATCGTTAGCTGACCATGCCGTAGACATATTTTAATGTATATGTGAAAAGTAAAACAATATAAGATATACATGAAATCAAGACAAAAATTGACTACAAAAAAAGATGTAATTGTTGATGTAAACATATTGCACACCTGTAGAAGATAGATACTTTTATCTACGACGTGGTTCATCAAGTAATGAAAGCATATTTAAAACGCATTTTCCCGCATCTTGCACAGCTTGTGAATTAGCCAATGGACGAGGCAAAACGAATGTGTAAAAATTTGCTCCCTCAACAATGTTGCCCAGTGCCCACAAATTCTGAACGGGTTCACCATCTCCATCAATGACATTGTGATGTTTCCCAATATCGATACCACCTGGATGAAAGTTACCATTTCGAAATGGACGAATGAGTCTGTCTTCTAACATGTTTTTCATCAATAATGAATCATCTCGTTCAGGATAAAATGGCTCAACCATTGCTTTGATTAGAACATCGGCACAGATTTGATGGTTCATATCTTTACTTTGTATCATGAAACTTGCTGTTGTTTTTCCACATATCACCTGTGGATTGGATACGCATGCTAAGTGCACAATACCGGCTCTGATCAGGGCCAATAATTCTTGATTCTTTTCTTTTGGCGGCCCAACAGCGATTCTATTCATGGTTGGAACGAAATTTTCTAGCAAATATTTATGGGATTCGGGTGTCAATCCTCTGTTATCAATTACATAACGAAGATTATCTCGGACATCACGAATTAGATCAGTAGCAGCTTTTACCGGACTAGAGACGTTTCCTTGATCAGCATGTTTAAGATCATCTTTAACAAAATCAATAATCCAATTTGTGAATGAGTTCATATCGTTGAATTCATCTGTTGTAGCCAGTGGATTAAATAAGTGACGAATTATAGTGCCCGTTTCTTCGCTTGCCTCAAACTTGTCTGCCTCCGACCATTCTCCATTTAACGTAGACTCATAAACATAACACATTTCACGAATTAAGATTGGCATCAATTCTTGTTCAAACTCAAGTTGGGGTGATCCGCGTTTCATACGGGCATTTTCGATCAAACGATTAATGTTCGAACGAGTGAAAAAGCGCGGCGTATATTTTCCGCCGATCCCTTTTTGATTGTTTCCTCGAGCACTAAGTGGAAGCCCACTACGGGAAAACACGTATATTTTTGGTTCAAAGCCTGATGGAAGATAAGATACTTCACCTTTTTCTTTCTCAATAAATTTTCCTCCACGACCACATGTTAATTCAGCAAGCACATCAAGGGCAGAAAGGCCCATTCCTTGAATAGCAACCACAGCATCCTTATCGATTTGTTTGAGTTGTTTCAAGGGGTAAGCACGTAAATATTGTAAATGTAGATTACTATCCTTGTTGTCATTTACAAACTTAAGATATTCCATTTCTATAGGATCCATCGTATTTTGTCCGTGACCAGTGGTTAAAACCGCACAATCGACCACCAAGCATTGTCCACTGGTTAACGTAAGTTTAAAGAGATTATTATTCACGCGGCAAAGTTTACTGACCATTTCTTTATGACGATATACGTGAACTCCAGCAGGCAAATGGGAGATCAGATACTCGTAGACCCACGTTAAATATTCTCCAAGTAGTGCACGGGGTAAATATTCATTTTCCTCGATGACTGCTCCGGTATCCAACCCCTCACCAACCTTACAATATTGCCCGTAAGCAATTTTTCGATAGTTTTGTGCTCGAGCCCATTCCAAAAACGTGGGCCCATTCTGAGGTGGTCCCGCCTCAACAACCGTATGATCTCCGAACAAAGTTATCTGACAAGGAACCGTATTTGTCAACAAGTGTTGCCGTTGACTCGATGAATGTACACCTTGACCATTCATTTCGGGATCAATTAAATGAACATCTAATTCATATCCATTCAATTTTCTATTGTATATGGCGGTAATGCGTTCCAAAACAGTTAAGCCACGTGCACCTACACCAACAACAGCGATTTTTCTCGTCTGTATTACACTAGCTTCTACGCGAAACTTTTTGGTTGAATAGGCGATCGAATAGGAACGACAAAAACGCTTGCGACCAAGACTTGCATCATAATTATAAGAAGCAGTATCAAAAACGCTATCAGAAATTTCCGTACAATCATTTGGTTGACTGTGAAATCGCACAAAAATCTTACTTTGTTTGAACATGTTTCTTTTTCAAAATACTGTTGAAATATGGGCAGTTTTATGTGTTAGATAACATATTTTATTAAATATTTGCCTGATATATATCTGTTTGCTTTTTATTTTTTCTTCCGATTATACATATCGAAATATCACTACCTGACTTACCACGCATTTTTTGCAGTCCAAGCACAAATCTTAGTTTTTCTCCGAAAACCAAAAGCCATACGTCACTTCTATCCGCCTTCAAATCATTTGGAAATATTTCGCTCTGCTCGTGTGTCACTTCTCATAGGTTATGTCTACTTCTAAAAATATTTTAATGATACATGACCACACTTCATACTAGGAAGCATGCATTTTTCTCTCACATTTATGAGGTAACAGCAAAATATTTTTTGAATTCGTTATGACGAAGCGTTCATTTACCTATGATGCTATTGAAAGGTAAAATCCAACATGAGTGAAAAGAGGAAGAGAAAAATGATGTCACAAGCATAAGAAAGACATCCGAGTGCTCTTCCAAGAATGTGACTTCCTATTTGTCAAACCTTCTCTTTCAGTATGAATGGAAATCATGATGGCTGCGTATGTTTGGATGTAGCTATGTCGGCTAATTATCTCACTAATAGTACTGTTTTATGTTCTTATTTGTAATAATTTGCTATGATTCAGTGGTGCGGTAGAACGTAAACTTTCATTTGATATGGTCTCTGTAGAATATTATTTGATAAGCTCAAGAATAGCTTAATGTATGGCTGCTGAGAAAAGCCGTTCGTTTGCTCTCTATACTTTTTTGTACGAACTGCCGGCTGCTACAGTATTAATAGTTACTTTGATTCAAAAGTAAGCATAAAATCGGTCCTAGGAAAGAAACGAGAACATGGTAAACTTGTTAAGGAGAAATTTGGTCTGTATTTTTGGGCATATTTGATAAGGAGAGATCGGATTTCTTCTATAAGTGACGGAGAAGTCAAGCAGTTCGTATGGTTTCCATTCAGTATTTACTTGTATCTTAAGAATAAGAACAGGAAGTGTAGACTTCGAGAATTTTTTTCCGATCCCTCTTAGTAAAGTGTAGGTGTAAACTCCATCTACACAGTAACACTACGCAGATGGACG